GGGGACCCGATGGGGATCCCCGATAAGATCCCCGACGGGGATCGGGACGGTTACGGGGACGGTTTTAGCTATCGGTTTCGGGGACGGGGATACCAATACCCGGCCCGAACCCGGCCCGTTGCCATTCCTAAGTTTCATACTCTGAAATAAATAATTATAAGGATGATTTTATAAACGGATTCTTGTTTACTTTTTAATAGTTTTATTAAGAGGTAATCTCTGAATCGTTAAGAGGTAAATCTTGTTTGACAAATTTTTTTTGCCTCATAATGGTTTTAAAACCTTTTAAATGATTTTGTATTCTGGTATCTCTTAACCATACATTTCTGAATCCGAGTCAGAACTATCACTACCTTCACTTGACGATTCACTTGTCTGACTGAGCTCTTTTACTTGCTTCCCAGATCTGACTTTATTCTTCTTTTCAATAACAAAGGTCAAAGGATCAGTGACTTCCTTTTCCTTTTTCTTCTTTAAATCTCTGGCTTCTAAAACATCTTCCTCATTTTGTTTCAGAGTTTCATAAACCTCGTGAATATCGATATCAGAGTCTCGATCTTTTTTCTTAACCATTCAACATCCTAATTTCATTGTAAATAATTACTAAATAATTACATTTTATTTTGCTATATCATGAGAGCTTCTTAATTATTCTCACCATCTAATCATTTTATACCAAATCATTCAACAACTGTCAAACAATCCCTAAATATGTGTTTGTAATATGGACGACTTATAGGATTCAAGAGGTAAATTATCACATTCTTCTACAAACTACTTCTTCAAAAGATATTTTGTGAAAGCATTATAAAATCAAGTTTTATTGTAGTATATACGTGTTTATTTTATCAGTGTGTGTACACGAGTATATACTGTATGGTTATATTTCTAAATTAAATATTGCATAGGTTATTTATCACATAACTTTAACATACATACATACACAATCACAGACTCTGATTTGTGTAATTAACATACATGGTTTTAAGAGATTTTAGTTCGACGAGTAGGCTGGAGGGGGCTCATCAAGGGCAGCAAATCGAGAATTCCTTTGAAAGATTTCTAGCTTTGCTACTAGATACATGTGCGTAACATATATAGAAACTAAAGTATAAACATGCATTTAAATATATACAACTGTATGTTTTTCTCCCCCTCCGATATGGGGTAAAAAAGCCAAAATAAGTTATTTTAGCCCTTATAAAAAGAAAACTGATTCTTGAACCCCTTTCACGTTCATGTCACGTCGAGGTACTTGACGGATGCCGAGTCCACCAAATAATAAATTCCAACTAACGATTAATTACAACCAAAATTGTAGTAGTGTAAGTCGGGTCGAATCCACAGAGACTCGGTCTAACGTTATACGACTAGCGAATCAAGCACAYGATGGAAGCGTAAAAATACTAATAATCACAAAAGGGGGGGGGGGTTTGAATTTGATTAATTACTCTAAAAATGCAATAATATAAACTAAAACAATTGATTAAAACCCCAACATCGATTTAATACCGGTTAAGATGTTAATGCCTATCATCGATTCCAAAAATGTAAACGGAAAGGACAAGCCCGAATTGGCTTTAATCGTTAACAAGCTCTAACGACCCACATTTTCCATAGATAATCGTTGATTAAAATAAGCTCTCTAATCAACCCTTAACCACAAATACGAGTTTAAATAAGCTCTTAAACTCATAGGTGCGATTAGCTTTATCGGACTAAAAAAAGTACCAATTCAAAGCCATAAGCTCACAAGCTCGGCTTATCGAGGCTTAAATTGCGAGATTTCAAATATTCAATCCGGAAACCTTATCGAAACCAAATGAATACTATTGTCCCTCTATCAAAATCCTAAGACAATTACGTATCTAAGAATTYTGAATAACCATTCCATAAAAGATTTCCAATCAGTTAGCTAAACTAATTAAAAACCCAAATAGGATTAACATTGAGTTCAGAAATCAAGCAAATAAGCTTGTTCAAACACAATTACAATGAAATCTCAAGGCAATAACAAATCAAAACCTAATTAAACCAAATGTTGGAATGAAAAACTTAGCAAAACATATCTAGGTTACTGATTCTAAGGGTTTTAGGATTTACCGTAAGAATCAGTTGATGAGAAAGATTGTCGTCTTCTCCATTTTGAAACAGCCCCTGCTGTCCGCTTCAATCTCGCCTCCAATCGAACAGCTTGCTGTCGAACAGCTCCTTCTTCTCCAGTCCAACAGCCCCCAAACGTGTTGCTCTCCTTTCTCCAACAKCCCTCAATCGACAGCCCTCTGCTGTCCTCGCTCTCGGTCCTGTAAAATCAAACCAGCCCCCAAAACGAACAGCCCTCGCGACTGTCTCTTCTCCTCGAACGAACCGACTGCTTTTCTCCCGTCCCCTCTTGAACCGCCTCCCTTCGATAGACTCCCCCTCTTTTTGTATTGACAGCCCTTTCTATCTTGTTCCTCTCCACGACCCTCGCTGCCCACGTCGATCATTGCACGATGTCCCTTCTCCATCGCACTTCTCTCGCTGCACACGTCTCTCTCTCTCTCGCGACTCGCTTCCTGGTTTGGGCAGCAGGTTTGGGCAGCAGCCCAAGCTCATTCTCGATTACTTTTGCTGTTTCTTTTGGGCTTAGACTTGGGCTGCTGTTATGGGCCAAACAAAACACATAATCAAATACATTTTTCTCACCTTTAAAAGCCTCATGAGAATAAATATTAACTTAAATAAAAATGGACGTTTTAAGCATCAACTTAACATTAATTGCAAGGTAACTTTGATATAAAAAAGTATAAAATTTGCACATATCAAATTCCCCCACACTTAGATCATTGTCCGTCCCGGCAATTACTACGAATTAATCATGAGTTGATTTTCAGAGAAATGGCAAAAATACATAGCATTTCACGGAGGTTCGACTAAACCATATTAGCGAAAATTAACACACGAGACAAACCAAAGATGAGAACATGCTAATTTCACAAACACCTCACAAAGGATATATGCAATATAATCGCTCATKCACACAATGGTGTAGGTGTTTTCACTCAAAACATCAATTCACATGTACATACACTACCATAATCTTGAATTAGATCTCGATTCTCCATCGCTAATGGTCAACCTAGGTGTGGATCAAAAGGTCTTTGGTAAGGGTTGTAACTTGGTTAAGGGCCAAGGTAGGGAAATTTTGGTTAAGTGACTAAAATTGGACCTTGGAAAGGAAACTACAACTCAAACATGAGTCTCGTGTCTTGTCAAAGTGCGATCACAAAATTTTTCGATCTCTTAGCTCTTATTCGCTAAAAACATTATGGAGACAATTGTGTTTCTTCCATTGTTCGGCCTCCATGTATTCATTTTTTTTTCTCATTCCCACATATGGAACATATATATATATTTTTTCTTTTCTTTTTTCTTTTTCTCTTTCTCCYTTTTTTTTCTCTTTTCTCTTTTTCTCGAACCTCTACCGATTATTATATAGGTGTTGAGRATCGTGTAGAAGGTATAAAGATCAAACAACAAATACTCCTAACTAAGAGTATGTAGTCTCATTCCAAAGTCCGGTGAGGGAAGTGTTTGGCTTAAGGGTTATCTTGTGGTGTTAAARTCAAGAAAATGGGTAACTAGGCTCAAAAGAGGTGACCAAAAAGGAAAACACATAAGGGTTGGCTTTAGGCTAAATGGTTAAAAGAAAACATCAATGATGGCCTTCTATCATTTCCACACACTAGTATTGCCTAAATGCAATCTTGAAGAGACCTAACACAAGTTCTAGAGTGAGATAAACATGGAAGATGTAATGCACACAAAAATGAAACGAGATCGAAAATAGTGTTCGACCATGGCTCAAAAGCTCACGGGTTCATTTTGTCTATAAAATTAGCAAGCCTCACAAAAGTTATCTCAAATGTGCTAATCACGACTAACAAGTAAGTCATACAATCGTTCATGCTATGGTGTTTATGTCATTGAAAATCAAGAAAATCGTCACTCATGCAATTCATTAAACAAATGCCCAAAATCAAGCCAAATGTTCAAAAAAAAAAAAAAATTAGCCCTTTCTAACACACTCTTGCACATTAAAAATCAATAATTCCCCACTAAAAAGAACAATAATTCCCTCCCCACACTTGAACCATATATTGTCCTCAATGTATGCATTCATTGGCGTAGTCTAAAACATTAAAAAGCAAAGGGAACGAGAAAACTCCCCTGGATATGTAGACTTGTGCCCAATACACGGTCAAGCGGGTGGTAAA